GACAATGGACAGATGGAAAGAGCTAATAGCACGCTGATTGAGCTACCAATGGCTTTCACTGAGGACGAGTCCACCTCACCTACCAGGCTACAATCTATACCTCAAGCGGTAAAATGGGGGTACCTACCGATATTCTCGTACCGAACACGGAAGTAGCAATCCACAATATCCCTGAGTAAGAACTGAGCCTTAAAGAAGAGGTAAAACAAGTTTTCAACATTTCAAAGGAATTCTTACAACCGTAATCTGTCAAGTAGAAGAAACTTCACGGCAAATGCAGTCAGAATAACTTCTACCGAGGGGGGACCTAGTTCAGCTATACAAGGCGATCCCGCCCCCAACCTCTTCCTCCAAAAAAACGTATGAAGCAAGGATCCATTCTGAGCCATCTTCCCAACAAACTACCTCTTCTACAATGCACACCTCCGTACTCAGCCAATCACCGATCCTCACAGCAGGACGGGTCCGTGTGAAGGTACGCCGTCTGTCAGATGCGAGGATGAAGTCAACGTTTGAACGGACGAATAAAGACGACCAGAAATGAGGCACTCAGAGACCAAAAACATCCGTTCTCAAAAAAAAACGAGGGGGATATGTAATGTGCGTGTGTGTTTGATTGCATCCTTAAAACAAGAAAGGGCCTCATCCACCTTTAAGGAAGAAGCGTACGCTTAACAGGCATAACCCTGATCAGCGTGACAAAAAGTAATTTCCTCCATCTAATCAGTCCACTCATTCCAAAGAAAATTAAATCCAAGTCTGAAGAAATAAACGCCGATTCTATTATGCAATAATGAGGTTATTTTCTGGTAATTGTGTTTTACTGTCGTTAATACCAACATCACCGCTCTAAAAATCGAGTTATTCCAGATGGTATTAGGCGGGAAATCCCGGGAAAGTTTATGATATTGAGGTCTTAAAACAGCTATTAGGAGACGGTGGCAATCTGTGCAGTCCAAATAGGCACTATTCCATTCCATCAAAATTCTCTGATAAGGTATTCGACGACTTCAAGGTAACAAATCAATGCATAAATGTGCACTGGTAAAGTATCACCTCATTAAAAGTTCCATTTTTTCCAAATCTGTTGAGGTTTAACTAAAAAACCAAACTGTGCTCCCTGTACATACTTAGGGGTGAAATCTTCCCACCACAAACGCCAACTACCCCACAGAAAGTAGCTCCTTGCACTAGACTCTCGCCTAGCTCACTGCTTTTGTACTGACCGACATGACACCTGCGTCGCCATAACGAGGGGCACACTTGTCACCACGCTCATCGAGACACATCAACCACCATAGCTCAGATGACGAAATCAACCACTCCCCTTTCCGCCACAATTCATTTCAGCTCAACCGGATCTGTCACACATGTGCGACGGGAAGACAGTCAAACACATGATGCCGGTAATAAACGTTAAAAGTAGATAGATTCAGAAAGTGCATCTGAAAGTACGAGTGAATTCCACACAAATGGGAAAAAATGCGGCGTCCCCCAACCTCACGCCCGAAGTTGATGGAATACGCGGAAGAGAAGTGATTTTACACAGTTTGCTAGATACACAGAGACCAACGGTGTAGTCAGAGGAGAAAGTTTTCAGATGAGGTGTGATGATAGTGAATGTCGTCATGACCATCAGGAGAGGATTTGGCCGGCTGCAATTGCGTCGATCGGACTTGTGAGCCCTCCACAAAGGCGTGCTGCACAAGTTCTCCCTCTCGCCGCTCCGTACTCACTAGAACACGACGCTGGGGCACTAGAACTATAGCCTCCTTCCCATCCTGCCAGACTTCAATTAGTCTATTGAGACAATTCACACGAGACTCAAGGACTTCACGACTGGGAGAGGATATTACTAGGTCTTGGATGTGTTCCAGCTGGGGGGTAAGCTGAGTTATCATATCGTCGAGGCTAGTATCTTGAGGCAAGGGTGGCAGGTTCGGCAAAACGTCTTCTTCATCCTCCTCCACTTCCTCATCCTCAACAGCTCCCACAACCGCTGCTGCCGAGGCTTGTGCAGATGCTTTCAGTTTAGCTTTGATGTTTCGTACGTCGGACATAGTGCATGGTGTGTGGAATGTGTCTAAGAATCGGCTTTCGAAGCGGGGTTTCAACTTACTCTCAATAAAGTCCTTTATTGCATGACTGTCCTGATTGGCTTGAAACATACTCCCTACAATGGCTAATTGGGGTTGGGTTAACCGTCGATTCCGGGGATAGGCTTTAGCGTGTTCTGGCGCAACATCGTGATTGTGTTTCACATCAAAACGCACGATTTTGAGCTTGTTGCGATAGCAGCTGACGTGGATTCTTGAGCGACACCCAATCTTAGCGGATCTAAGTGGACGATAGCTAATGGGAACAGAAGTCCCCGATTTACCTTCGAACTCGCTGGATAGATGCGTCGCAGTTGTGCGTGCCGTAATGATAACATTCATACGCAAAGGACTTGTAAACCAAGGTGTGTGCGTAAGGCGACTCAGCAGGGAAGCGTTTTGTATTTCGCTTCCCATAAAGAGAACCAGTGATGCGTTGGAATTCATCCATTTTTGTCTGTAGTTCCGTAAAACTGTTAAACATTTTGTCCTTAAATATGTCCAAAAAGATTGCTGTACAATCGACACCGGCACTGACGTCATCTAGATCAGTAAATTGGAATGAATTATGGAAAACTCACTCTCCTCAGTTATGCATTGTTCCGGTATCATATCTGCAGCTTCGACTTCGGGATAGCCCTCGTGGTTATGAACCATATAATATTTAACAACACCAAGCTGAGAATTGCGGGATCCAACCGTAAAATAGGCCGGACAGCCTATCCCTCCATAACTAGAATATATCATTAAAATCCCGATATTTACCCGAATCCGTTTTTTGCGACAGACTTTCGGTGCATTTCACATGCAAAACGAATGTATTTATAGAAAAGTAGCTGCCGTTCAATGGTTTCCAAGGGAAAATAGGTAGAGCTTGTTGGTTTGAAATAAGTATGACTAGCCTGTTGTCAAGAAGGCAAGAGGTTAGCAAGGGGAGCATGTACCTTCTGAAATGCTTCGAGGTTTGAATTAAAAGCATCGTATGTAGAAAAGCGGGTCGACCCAAGATACTTAATGAAATCCTCACTACAATCAAACTGGACCTCCATAATCCCATTGACTTTTAGTATACTGTAGCTGAATGTTTACTGAGCCCCATAAAACATCACACACGAGACCGCACACCACCCAGCGTGCATTGTAAAATAGCATAAAATTCGATGCACTTAAAAAATTCACTTTACTGATATGGGTAAGTATCACTTTGACTGGCTTTTCACACAACAACCTCTACCACATTTTTTGCATTATGATTTTAAGAAGAAATGCAATTTTATTAGTCCTACAATGGTTATGAATGAATCGTTCGTGAATATTTCACTCCCACTTGTGGCTGTAAGGCCACACATCACGAAATATTGCATAACTTTTTGTTTGTCGGAAGCACAGCCGCTTATTTACCTTTTGGGTGGGTAGTTTTTAATTTTAACTTACGTAAGTTTCGATGATCTCAGCGCCGAAGATAACGTCAGTATATTTCCCAATTCTTCCCATAGATTTTAACACAAAGCCCTGTTTAAAGTAACTACTTAGAATAGCGAATACAAGGCATATTTCTATAGTGAGACAAGTAGTCCTTGTGCCTTGCCGACTCAGCATTTGCAGCATAATTGTGAGTAGGTCGTAGCGTTTTGGCCCGTGCTGATGTCGCATGAAGCCACAGCAATAGGGCAGAAGGCATGCTACCAGTATACAGGGGACTGAAGGGCTACCGGCATGTTCCGAATACTATCTCACTGAGCGGAGGAAAATCTGTGGATATTTATGTTGCCGTGTAGTCAGAATATCAAAGTATTAAACAGCAATAGATGGTGACAAAGTCCATATCTTTGGAAAATGTAGAGGTGAAGTATGTGCCACTTTACCTGTGCGGGAGTGGCACGAAATTGATGAAGTTAAATTTTCAGATGACAACTTTGGCACTCTTGTTGCACGGGTGACGCCCCATAGAGTGGGCCTCATAAGTGGTTTCTGTACTAAAGGCAAAGAATCTTCACGCGTAATTTTCTCTCCTTTCAGAATTAATTATTCGCATCAAATTTAGACATTTTCTTACACAACATTTAGTTTTCACAAATGGGCCTTCTAATCGTCATGGCATGCAGTATCTTGATAGGACTGTCATAATTGACAGTGATTAGCTCTATTTCCCCATGCATAAGCGTTAATTTAAACTAACAAAATTTTCATTTGTTTGAATTAGTGATATGCGTGGTATTCTTGCGAGGCCACATTTTATTTCAAATTTTATCCTTTTACATTGCACAATTAATATCACTGTAGCAATTTTTGGTGCCCCGAGTATGACCCGAAGCCGTAAGTAGTCAGCGTGGTATGCCAGAAAATATATTACTGCTGGGCAGAAGAGCTGAGGCTACAGGCATAGCCTGCAACCCATGCCGACAAACGAGAGTACGTCAGTAATGCACCTCCTGCCATGCTGCCACGACTTCAGGAAAGACTCAAAGCGCCACATCGGTGACGGTGAAGAGCGGACCCGATTCCAAAAGCCAACTACCCTGGTTTCTATTGCTGAGTACTAAGCCTTAATGTGACAAAAGAATGGCAGCTACTACTGATGAGAGAATCTGTGATGACTCTTAGTAGGAGGGTTGAAAATGACGTCTACCGTAGACAACCACCCCTGTCCTGTGTTCTCCGGGAATGCTATTAACGATTGCAGCAACACCATCTACGAAAGTTTATTATCGAACTGTCTCTCTGCTATCTGATTAGAATCCAGCCAGAAGTTGCCGGGTAATCCGGAGGTAAAGCGGATACGCTCCGACTGCATTTTAAGTCGATCAATGAGGGGATTATTGATTATTGATAATTTCCTCTCATATTTAAGTAGCGAATAAGAGTCGCTCAGCAGGATATCGCCCACCTCGAGCAGCTCATTAACAAACCAGTCTCTTTCTCTGTCAGTTGTGCGTTATCAGAAAGCGATTTGTTGTTGCTTTTTCTTTCGTCAGTACGAATGTCACATTTAAACTTAATTGGAAATAACTTCTAAATTTTACCTTGAAGAAATTGCTACGTTTTTATGCTTGATTGCTTTTTAGTAAATGAGAATGTTTTCGTTTTATTTTACCAAATTATCTTTAATATTCCATTCGCTTGTCAAAAAGTCCAGCAAGCTTTATTAAACTGTCTTCTTTTCTCCTTCAGAGCCGTCTGGTAAACAATATTAACGGGCAAATATTTAAAACCAGGTTTAAGGTAAGCAGATCACTTTTAGTAAAAAAGAAACATGCAAATCCCAGCAATTACAGAAAATTAATCAACGCATTTGTCTCAAAACCTCAAGTGCAAAAAGGCGAGGTCGGAGGAAATAAACTGGTACTCACACTGTTATCAAATACTGGCTAAGAGCGGCTTCACATTATTGAACATTATGGTAAGTAGCGGAACAGACAAATCTACACTTTAAGTAGGCACTCCGGATAGTCATATAACGGGTAGAGAACAGAGTGTACGAAGTGAAGAATGAAGCAATCGAACGTACCCACTATGGCGTCAGCAATCGAGGAGTCTAACATTGTGTTGTCAGAAAAGCCGTGGCGAAGAACCTCTATAGGATGCCTCGTCAACAATTGGTTCATGATTACCACCATTGTCAGTGTTATCAGTGGTTTCATTGTCGGATTCTGTATTCAACAAATTGGCCTAAGTGAATCTGGTAAAACATGGCTTGGTGAGCTATCCATCAGCCAAAACACCGCTCTCTCCATCAGTACCGTTAGATACTAATACTAATGATACCGATGTGGTTACTGTCTTCTGTTTCAGCAATGCCTGGAACCATCTATATTAGGCTACTAAAGTTAACCATTCTTCCTATGATTGCAGCGAATGTTATCAACGGTGAGCAGTTTTAACCAACAGTACACAGGTCAACTTCTCACCTAGTCTACGTGATGACCTCTACTGGCTGTCCACTCATTTGTAATTTCTTTAGTCATGGCAAATCTCAATCCGAAGGAGAACGAGAAGGTCAGTGGGATTGCCCTCGGCTTCATTCTCATTTTCAACCTCCTCTGCTCTCTCATTGGAGTTGCATACGCATACATCATCAAATCGGGTGGGCTGTTTACCTCTAATTAAACAGTTCTGACTTGCTAACGCAAGTTGAGATAATTAAGTTGTGCACTCCGACAACCGTGAATTGAAGGGGGTTATCAAAAATTTGATACTTCCAAATTTTCAGTTCTGATACATACTTCTACATGAGTGAAAACACTTCGACCAATACGATACGCCTTTCCACTGTGTTTTGTAAAGAATAATTTACATGTTATACTGCCTTTTAATGCTTCAAAATATAGGCAATTGGGCTCAAAGTAATGCCACAAAAGCGGTTTCGTCCTTTGGTTCAGAGACAGGTGAATCTGGCGGCCAAATCTCTTACATCTTCAAAGACCTTTTGCTGTAAGTCAAGTAATCATTGAGTTTCTCCATGATTACACCTTGCATACCCAGAATGCACAAAGTACTTAACAATAATATTTAAATGCTCTTTCTAGTAATATTTGTCCCGACAACATCGTTGGGGTGACCCTTTTCCAGGTGGCTACTGATTATGATAATCCGTCAAAAAATGAGAATAAAGAAGTCACTTATCCTTCGAAAACTGTCGAAGGAACAAACATGATTGGTAGGGGGAAGATTATTCAAAATTTGTTATAAAAATTACTTAGAAAAGGAATCAAATGTTTTGTGGCTACCAAGGTGCACCAGTTTACAGTTCACATTTACTTGTGTCCAAGTCTCTTACGTTTATGCATTTAGATTTGCCCCATTAAGTCACAGTTCTCCTGACTTTTTTTCATTCAGCCGAATTTTAAGTAGAAAGTCTTTTCTCAATGAAATCCACGCTGCAATATTAACTAATTCTGTTGTAAAAAAATACTAGGTGTTCTCTTCTGTTCCCTTGTCTTCGGTATTGCTGCAAATGCTTCCAAGGAAAAAGGACAAAGCGTTCAAGCAATTTTTTAGTTCTCTTGGTGATGTTAATATGCTGTTGATGCAAAAATTCCTCCTGTACATTTTCCAGTTTGAGGTACTGACCTCCCATTATAACTACCAATACCTAAGCATTTGATTTTATTCATCCGTTTTATGACAGAATAACACCATTGGGCGTAATGTTCATGGTGATGAGCTCGATCGCAGAGATGGGAGACACTACGAACACATTTATTTCTCTTGGCTTCTTTGTCCTCATCAACGTTGTGGGACAACTCACCCACTTCATATTCATGCTTCTCAGTCTTGCTTTGTTGTGCAAGAATCCATTCATCATTCTCAAATATGCCTTCTCAACCTACTTCATTGCATTCGCCACAACAAGCGCGTAAGTTAATGCCAATGTTTGCTCTATGCGTATTCAGGGAAGCGTTGCCTCAAAAATGATGTTACTCATTGGATATAAACAGGAAACAGACTGCCTGTCTCATTTGTGCCTGACGTGGGCACTAACTCCCCCCACTCGGCGTAGACTACATCCACTTACCTATCGTTCCTTCCCTCCTCACCTGCCCCAACTTTCAGGTCGTCACAGATGCAGCATAATGGCGCATGCTTTGCCTTGTTTCAGCGTAGTCAGCATCCCCAACGCCTTTGTGGCATGTGATGCATACGGAATTCCAAAGCCAATCTCCCGTTTCGTGCTTCCATTTGCTGCAACCATGAAGAGTGACGCGTCAGCCGTTTTCATTACAGCCTCCTGTTTGTTTATCGCTCAACAGCAGAACATCGAACTTGATGCCGCCAAGGTCGTTACTGTTGTGTAGGTCTCTCCACTTCGGTCTGTCTGTCCGTCTGTC